CCCGGGAGCGGGCGGGCCATGCCGCGGCCCGGCCGCAGCGACAGCGCGGCTCCTCCGGCGGCGGAGCGAGCCCCTACCTCCGGCGGTGCCTCCGCGGCCAGTGAGCATGTGCGGCGCCGCGGCGCTCCCCAGCCGGCACGTCCCGGAGCCCGCCCACACACGGGCACTGCGCGGCGGGAGGGGGCAGCGGGGCCGAGCCCCGGACCCTCACGGCCCTCCCGCCGCTGGACACGGGGCGCCGCCGAGGCCGTGGGAGGTGGAGTACGGGGTGGAGGGGCCATGCATCCTCTGGGCTCTGGCGGAAGGAGAATGCGTTGCATGGTGGTGTTGAGAGGTATCTAACAGAGTTGGCAGGAACGATTGAATATTAGCGGAGATATTAACGGAGAGGGGCTGAGTGGGATAAGGAAGGGGGAGTGCAGTGTTGCGTAGATTAATGCAACTGTGGATCAATGGGCCAAGGCCAGTTGTATGAGGGTCAACAAGGCCAAGTGCTGCATGCTGCCCTTGGCTCACAGCARCCCCACGCTGCGCTACAAGCTGGGAGAGAATGATGMAAAGTTGTCTGGTGGAAGGATGAAGAAAACCAAGCTGGCCCTGCTGCAGGGCTAACAGGCTGTCAAAAAGACAGCTCTGTCTTGTCCTCAGCACCATGCTGGGCATCTCTCAGCACCTTYGAGCTGAGCCTAGGTGTTCGCATGCTTCCCCTGGTCTGTCAGCCTGTCCCTTGTCCCTATCTTGATGTGCTTCCCTGCTGCCATCTCGTTGCTCCAAGATGACAACGAGCCACACTTTGCCAAGCTGGTGAAGGCATTGTCACCCCGCCGTGTTTAACTGCCRTGAACTCCATGGCACACCTTCACCATCACACTCTCCCAAATGCCCAGGGCAAGGCATGTGCAGCTCCCATCCCATGGGGATGGGGATTCCTGCCTTCAGAGACCCCTGCAGAAAAACAAGGAGGTTGCAGACCCTATTTTAGGGTTGATTCTTCCCTGCCCAGGATGGTGCTGCCGATGGTGCAGCCCAGGTTTGGGCTGGCTTACATTAGAGCCAATGGAGCTTTGAAGTGGATGGGGCGAAAAAAGCATGATTTGGGCAGAAAAGAGCATCCTGTATGACAGAGCTCCAGCACTAACACTATCTGCATTTGTAGTCCCTGTGGCAGTAAAAAGAGACAGTGGGATTTCCTCAGTGTGGGAAACATCCATAGGGCAGCTGAGGCCAGGAGCTCGTGATGGAAAAGAGAGAAGGTGAAACCTGGGGGATGTTGGGAAGTGCAGCTGAAACTCCAGAAACCAGATGGATAATGYAGCACCTGAGAAACCCCAGGAAAAGCCTGGACCTTCCTCCAACACCATGGCTTCATCCTCCTCCTGCAGCTGGGGGAGCAGCTATGGCTTGTCTCCTCAGTCCCCTCCTTGCTTCTTTACTCATTCCCTCTTCCTACATTCCTGAGCTGTCACAGTGAGAAGCAAAGAAGCTGCTGCTTTTCGTTTGTTTCCARTGTCCCCCCTGCCCATAAATGTTCGGCTGAGCAGGCAGGTTGGGCTCCAGCTGCCTGGGGACAAAGACAGCAGTACCAGGAGGACCAGAACAGGTGCGCTGTCTAATTTCTGGTCATGGCAGTTGAATATGGGAAGGTTAGACTCTGTTCTGGACTCCTGAGATGCTGCTGCATATGCTGGTCTTTGACAGGGAGGGCATCCACAGCCTGCCAGGTCACTGTGTCCACACTAGTGTGCCTRTAACTGCCAACACAGCTGAACTCATAGGCAAGGTCTCTGTTTTCTAGGTATGAACCCACCAAATGAAATAGCAGGAGCCTGAATGTCTCAGCAATTGCCACTCTCCTCTGGAACTGGTTCCTCTCCAAAATATAAACTTCCTCGAGGGACAGATAAGCCTCTATAACACACTTGCCTGTAACCTTTCTTCCATGACTTTGTTCAAAGACAGTTTCTTTTAACCGGAAGATCTTAGCAAAACCTTTTTTCTGTTGCAGCTTCTTAGCAGCAACGCATATCAGAAGATCTCATGCTGGGGCAAGGCAGGTACTAGCAGTTGGGTCCCAGCCAGCTCCCCAGCCTCTGCCAGCCCACAGCACCCACCGACTCAGACCCCAAGGACCCTCCTCCCCTCCACTCCAGCTCARTTTGGCTGTCCTGTCCCACACGTGCCTGGGCTTGGCACCACCTACAGGTCATAATTCACCTGCARGCTGGGGAGTGCCTAGAGGACAGGGCCAATTGCTTTGGCAGCTTCCCTGTGCCTGCCACAACATCAGGCACAYGAAGGAGAATGACAGCTCCTSGTTCTGCTTTCAGCTGGGATGGCAATTCCCWATGTTTCACCCTTCACAGCCTCCATCTGCTCAGCTAGGCAGGCTGCAGTCAAGCCATGTGCCCARGCTGGTTCTGGGGCAAAGCTGCCCTTGCCGAACTGAGGCACCACAAACCCCCGTGTCAATTCCCAGCTCCATATCCATCCCTTACCCACACACCTGAAGAGGGGAATGTGGCACCAGAAAGCAGATGGCAGTGGAGAAGTCTGATGCTTAAATTCAGAACTATTTTCTGTTGAGAAACTCCAATTTATTCCTGAGGCTTGCCCTCATGCACTGGGACACACAGGAAAAGCTGGCATGTCCCAGAATGTGCAGASCTCCAGCCTTGCTGGACGGGAAGGTCCTGGGACCTCTTCTGTGGTGGTTGTACCCCAAAGCTATAACCCCCCCCCTCAATTCACAACATTCCATGTGAGCTTCAGCAAAGAAATCACTCCTTCAATAKTTAACCACAGCACATACTGGTCTATACACTTGGTTGTTTTCTAATACCAAGAAACCACATTTTTAAAAGTATATTGCAGCCCAAACCTATTTCAACCCAACCTGACCAAGTCACACAGAGGCTGTTTATCCTGAGATAGGCTTTCCCATGGTGAAAGAGGAATAAAAAGCAGGTAATCCCCAACCTCCCCTATGCACATGTCCTGGCATGGGAATGCATGGACAAAATAAATTTAAAAAATAAAAAGGAGAGAGTTTTTCTATTCTCCTTGAGCAAAAGAGTTTCATGCAAGTGTTTTCCTATTTTGGCAGCAATCAAAGTTAGATGTTTTGGCTGGATACCCTCCACTCTCCTTAGTAATGCACCAGCTCTTTRTTCTGACTTGCTGTGAGCCTGATCTGCCTCTGCCAACTGCCCTGTCCTGCCCTTGCCCTGCCGTGGTCCCCATCCATTGCCAGCCAGACATGGTGGCACCACGGAGCAGGTCTGGAGCCTCCATCCCACTGCTAACAGCAATCTCTTCCCCTCCCAGCCCGCAGGATGCTTTTCAGAAGCTTGGAAAGCCTGACCCTCAGGGCTCTCATCCCTCTGCCTTGCCCTGCCAGGTTTCCACTGCCTCCAGGCACAAGCATTTTTTTCTTAATTGCTGCCTGCATTTCCTTATAATTCCTTTTACTCTCCACAATTCATTGCTGGTGACACAGAGTTGCTTCCACTTTTCTCCACAAACATTTAATTTCACTTTTCGCTTGCTCCCTCCCTCCTTGACACTTCTGTTCATTTGCCTCTTAAGCAGATCTCTACCCAAACCTGCTCTACATCACTTYTCAGGACCCAAATGTTTTACTATTATTTCAGTTGTAAAGTTAACATCCTCCCAACGCTGTCATC